TTTCTGATCTGCAAAGATTTTGGAGGCTAATATAAACCAAGTTGGTTTGCAACCAGGAATTTTCTGTGAAATAATGCTGTAAGTGATTTGTCTTTCTTTGTGACACTTCAGAAATCTAGAACTCTTATTTTGCTTCCTGCTACTAATTGTCAGCTCTGGATGGCTTAAGTATAGAGGAAAGCCAGAAAAGCCATCTGTTTGGAAGAATGAAAAAGCCTACTTGTTTTACTCATTTCCTGGGCAAAATGAAGAGCTGAAAGGTTTTCAGTGAGAAAACTGCTTAGACTGCACTAAGCCAGATGTATAATTCAAAAGGAATAAATGGAGCAGAATTTTCTTAGTTCAATATAAGATAGTTGTATGGTAAGTAAAAAGAAACCACTTGCTCCTTTAAGCAAATAGTCTTTAAGTGTTTGTGTAAATTTTCCAGATCTCAGGCTTGCTTTTCCAAATGAACTTATATAACAACAGGCTGTTCTATCACTAAATTAAAACAATAAAATGTTAGCAGTATTATAAATAAATGCCTATAATGCTCACTTGAAAGAAACTTTTGCTTTAGTCCTTCTATGAAAACCTAGGATATCTTCTGTTAGAAAAAGCTAATCCCTGAGTTTTGGATCTGAGAAGCAGGACTCTTACATAATGCATTAGCCTAGCACATCAAATTACAGTAGGGACTAATGCACTACTAGTTATTAGCTCCCATCTTCTGACATCTCTACTTAGATGGCTTGGTCAGAAGTTAATTTCTACCAGCAAAGCTCTGTTGACAGAATTCTGTGCAGTCCCACATGACTATGTGACTCCCAAGCAAAGCTAAACAGACTAGAACATCCAGATCAAATGTGGTATCATCAGGGAGAATTAGATGAATGAAAAAAAACAACACATAAATGAATTAGCTTCCATTGACCCAGCTACATATAGTAGGTTTGCAAGTCATAATCATATCTAGACAGCAGTAAAATTCAATTGCAAGATCTTTGTCAGTATCAGGGACATGTAGTAACAGCAGGCATGGCTGTTCTCCCTTTAATTCAGATTTGAGAGGTTTGTAGCGTCTCATCAGAGAGCTTACCCTTCAGCAGTTTCTTTCAAACAGATACTAGAGGAAACCTTAAACCATGTTTTTGCTGCACTTAGGCAGCTCAACAGCTGACAATGAAAATAGTATTAAAATAAAATATGCAGTTATCAAAACTATTCTGAGTTTGTCTGGTATGAATGAGTAACAATAGCTTTTGCCCTTTTTCATCCCATCTTGATAAAGCTTTTGAACAGTGTATGAAGTCTCTAACTTAGCTAGCAAACTTTCAGGCCATTATGATGGGAAGGCTGACATCCATTACAGCAGTCAATTGAGTCTCATTTATTTGAAAACAAAAAACAACCTTAATCACATGTACCTACTCAAGATTACTATTCCAACATAGAAACAAAAAAAATTACTGTAGTGCCTCCAGCCATAGTCCAATTAAGAGACTGGAGAAATAGATTATGTGCATTTTTATATCTCTCTCTATATATCTATCCCTAGACACAGGGCTAATTTAGATTATGCTTGCAGAAACAGCTTTATCTTCAGAACTTCCTTTATTTCCTAATGTTCCTGTCACAGGGAAGAACAGAAGTGTAACATGGGACAATTTTACAGCTAACAAGCAGGTCATTTTTATTTGCCTTATTAAGCAGATGAACTACTTAGCTCTCATCTCTGAAGCGCACAAGTGCCTTATTTTACTACTAAGCAATTCAACAGCTCTTCTGCTAATCCTTTTCCCTCCAACTGCACTGTTCAGTGACATAGTATTTGAAGCACTCTTCTCGATACTGGGAGTGTAGATGAACAATTAGCTATATTACTT